TTTGCAGGTAAATATTGTTTGAGACTTGATCTTCCCTTGAACTTCACCATAGTTTCGTCGATCGATCCACGACGACCAAACTTATAATTCTTCTGGAAATTTGCAACCAAAATCTCAATGAATTTCTTAATTTTGTAAATTTTACTATAATTATTCGATCCCTTTTTTGGCTCCAGAAAATTATCAGCAAGGTGTAAATTATAAAAGATTTGGAGAAAGCGATCTCTCGATATAATCGCGGAGATGAACCCATTATGAAAAATATCGTCTTTGCTCCAGTAAAGTTTCATTTGTGACAAGTCATTGATTTCCATTACAATAATTATCCCAATCTGAAACCCGAAAAAAAGGAAAACTTTCCAAACTCAAATTTTTTACGACTTGAACTTTTTCTTCTGCTACTATTTCCGCTAAAAAGTATAGCAAAAATGAGAACTCAGTTTATGTTTAATACGTTCAAATGTGCTCTTTCTCGTGGTCTGTAAAAAAATTGTTTAGTGCTGGAGAACGAAGTTACAAGAATACACCAAAAGTTGACAACATCCCCGTTTCCAACAACGGGCTCAAACAAGACACGGAAAACACGATTGAAGTTTTGATTCTGCACTTAGATAGAGAAGAGCAATTATTTCTGATCAAAACAAAACAAACCTGACCGAAAAAGCTTTTATTCTGATGGAACTATGAGACTTTTACTGAAGGCACTACTATACCCAAAATTCAAAAAATTAATGAAAAAATGCATGACAAACGACAGAAAAGCTTGGCTTTTAATGTGAAAAAGTTTGAAGTGTAGCTAAAAGATAGAGCGAAGTCGGGGCTACAAAACGGCTAATTCGATTTTTCTTACTTTCAAAACGTTAACACAAGAAATCATTTTTGATTTTGGAAAGTTATCATTTTTTTTGGCTTTCATGTAGTTGGCTTAGTTTTCTTGATTGAAGTTCTGAAATTATAGTTTAGGTATGATTTTGTAGAGTATTTCGAAGCGTCGAGCAAGTCTCGGAAACAAATCCAAACCAAGTTATAAGCAGAATACTGAGACCCTCATTTATTCTGGCCCACCAGGTGTTATGCCTCGTGAACATTGAACTCAGATGACCTTCTATTTTGAATAGGGGTTTATGAAACAAAAGAAGAAGAAAAAACAGTAGCAAACCTTTCAGTGAGAAGTAAGAAGGAAAATGATTCTCAAAGCTCATAAAAATAATCAAATGAACATTTCCTTCGACTTTCTTACACAGAATCTCTTGACATTAAAAAACGACAGAACCTTCATCAGTTACACTGATAGTAGTGCTCTCCTCCATCGTTATCCTCTTAGAGCCTATCTTAACTTTGCTGTTACTCATCTTTTCATTTTCTGTAAAACTGTGCATTGTTTTCCAGAAAACAATTCTTTTTTCTGAAAAATCAAAACCGCGCAGCAAAAATAAATTTTATAGAAAGTTGAATCTAGCGCATTCCTATTTTGAAACAGAAAATAAAATTTCACTACTTTCAGCGACTTGTCCAGCTAACGATCTCCATTTTTTGCTCTTTTTCAAAAAGTTATTATAATAAAGCTACAAACTAAGCTAAAATGGCAACTAGATAATTAAGTAGATTAAACATTTCTCTACAAGATGTGACAGCTTGTCAAGCTCGAAACTATTCTATTAATCTGTATTAATCAAAGAAAAACCAGAAAAACGGGAATGCTGTGACACTTTTGACCGTTTTATGTCACAGCGTTACCGTTTTTCTGGTTTTTCTTTGATTAATACAGATTAATAGAATAGTTTCGAGCTTGACAAGCTGTCACATCTTGTAGAGCAAACAATTTTCTACAAAGTGGTATACTTGTTCAATGTTTACCAGCTCGTCTTCGCTCTTTTAGATACGCTTTTTAAATAGCCTACAAATCGATTTTTGGGGCTGTGTGTACAACAGCTGTATTTTCATAACGAATCAACGTTCGGAGCCGAGACACTTTTCATTTTGTAGAGAAATGTTTATTCTACTTAATCATCTAGTTGCCATTTAGATTGGATTCCCCTTTTTTCGAGACACTTCTACTTAATCATCTAGTTGACCTTTATTATAATAACTTTTCGAAAAAGAGCAAAAAATGGAGGTCGTTAGCTGGACAAGCCGTCAAATTGCAGATAAAGTCACACCTGCTGATGGTCTTCATATCTTCCATTTAAAGGAATAACGCTCATTTTTTCTTCTCCTAGAACCAGCATCCGGTGGAGCTGGTATTCAAAAACAGAACCGTACCAGTGCTGCATTGGTAGGATCCGAAAGTTTCTTATCAAAACAAGAGAAGACAACAACAAAAAATCAAAGTAAAAAAGGTAAGAAAAAAATTCCGTTATATTAAATCTGCTATTCCTCTTCATTCCACAAAAAACTAAGTTTACTTTTTCAACGAGAATTTTATTACAAGAAAAGTAGAACAGTCTTAAGCACCCGCCCATTATAGTTAAGTCAAGAAAAGTGAAAAACAAGAATTCTACTTTCTCCAACCCGTCCCAAGCAACCTATGAGAAAATCTAGACACATTTCGTCGGGAAACATGGTTAGTTGTCATCTAGATTACTAGTTGAAAAAGGGACTTTTAAAGTAGATGCGTCTGCGTGTGCAACTAGCAATAGTTAAATCGATCTCTTATCGGGCGATAAATCGATCATGGCAACTAAGGAGAAATCTAGCAGTCGTCTGATTATCATTTCGAAGCTCATGAAATTTTCTACACACTCATTTGTTCAGAATTTCAAGATCGGTTTCAACGGATAACCTGCGTTTCCATTTACTTTAGAGGTTATCCGAAGTTACATAACACCAGCCTTGGGACTCTTAGCAAAACTAATGTCATTCTTATAACTCCATAAACTGAACCTTCTGATTAAAATGCCATACAAAGTTCGGTTTGAAGGAAATCTCACGAGCTTTGAAATGGTATACGACACAAAATATACATGTTTATTTACTAGTATAACAAATAGTAAGAACTGAAAGTATGTCATGTCACATTTTTCCTGAGTCGATTTACTTCTGGTCTATTTTTCAGGGCCTGATCCCACAGATCTTGAAATTCTGAACAAATGAGTGTGTAGAAAATGTCATGAGCTTGAAAATGATATATAATAGAAAATATGTGTTTTCTTGTTTGAGAGAAAAAGAAACCACAAACGCGAGAACTGTCTACTATAGTGTATATGTAGGATTATTCTAAGCGCTCTACTGCTATCAAAGCACGGCGATTAATTGTTATTTTACACACAGTCTGTAGAGAATTTTAGGAGTTGTCCAATGATATATTTACTTTGTTATCTAAGCGAAAAAAACATGAGAAAAACACTTTTTACGTAACCTATAGCTGATCTTTGAGGTATGAGCTATTGGCGCCCTATTGACGAGGGATTACTTGACTTTTAGTCACTAAAAGTACTTGAAATTACAATCGAATAAAAATGCTTTTCTACTACTCACACGGCCGTTCTTAGGCAAAAACTGAAGTGGACCGATTACCAACCTCATGTCGGCCTCTTCTTTCGGCATTTTACTCTCATTCACTCTCACTGTTTTTTTCTGTGTATATTCTGTAGTTTCAGTTAAATTCTCGCATAAATACATGAAAGCTCAAGCATAAGAAAAAACCTAGTATCACCGGATTCATCAAGGTTACTGGAGTTTTGCTCGATTGCAATTATTCGGTAACGATAGTGGAAATCTAGTAATCGGACGATTGCTAGATTTATCCTCAATTGCCACGATCGATTATCGCCCGATAAGAGATCGATTTAATTATTGCTAGTTGCACATGCAGATGCATCTACTTCACCACCAAAGTATTAAGTTGTACTAGTACCACTGCCACAATCAACAGCTCTTTATCAATTAATGCTACAACAAATGAAAACTATTGGAAATCAGGTGAAAGTTCTTTCAATTGAACAAATTAAAAATCCACTATTGGAAGAGCTATATTTATATTATAAGAGGATGATAGCAAAAGGATGTACAGGACAAAATCCAAATGAACGTGAATTATTTCATGGAACTAAAGGTGATGCAACTGATAGTATTCTAGAAAATGGCTTTGATGACCGAAATTATGCTAAAGGAAACTGGGGTAAGTTAGAAAATAGGAAGAATCTGTTCAATCGAATCACTTTCATTTCTTCTCTTTCCCTCATAGGTCATGGTGCCTATTTTGCTGATAATCCAGTCGTTTCACATTTTTATACATCACGTGATCCTATAGATCAAACACGTATTATGTATTATAATAAAGTATTATTAGGCAATGAACACATATTACAAGAAATAAATCGAGAATTAGATTCAGCACCAAAAGGTTATCATTCAACACATGGTAAATACCCGGGAAATCCAATGTCAGATGAATATGTCGTTTATCGTTATGCACAAGCACTGCCATATTTAAAAATAACATATAAAGGATAGAGAAATCGAATAGCTAAAAACTTTTCGAGCTTCTGAATTAGATCATTTTCTATTCTGTTATGTATTCGTCAAATTTCAGATATTACGTAAACAATATTTGAAATTACCTATATCTGGACAACGTGAATTTCAAAAACATAGATAAAGGCTAACCTTGATGATAAAAACACACACCCACAGCTTACGAGGAAACCTGTGGAGATGTATACCTCTGATTTCGTTCGTTCATACGTCAATCGATAGAGGGTATCGAGGTCGTAAACAGCGAAAAAGGATTCGGACCGATGGCTTTTTCTTCAATAGTTATAGATATTTTTCTGTTTTGCCCAGCGAAAACTAGAAAAAATAGAAAAATTCATAACTCTGTCCAGAAAAGTAGTTAAGAGCTCAAATTTCTTTCTATGGCTCTTCTGTATATCTATGATATTCATACAAATTCAACTTTACAATTCATTCCATTCCCAAGTTATTGAATTTTCAGTTTTCAACAGATTAGCCCTTTCATAGACTCACAATATAATGGCTTCCAGAATCGTTAGTTTTCCACTAGAACTGTTGAAACTTTCATAAATGACATAGTTTTGATCGACACATTAAATGGCAACTTAGAAAAAATTTTCGACTCAAAAGTTTTGAAATAGGAAATTTAATTTCTATTCCAAAACCACATGAAAATCACAATTTTTTTTTTCTTGTAATCCGAAAGAAGTCCAAAACTTTCTTTCATTGACTCGAATCCGGTCTGAATCGATTCGGTTGTTGAAAACGATATATGAAACAAGCTCGGACGTGCGAAGAAAACTGGATATATACTTGTAAAGTTGGTGCTCTTTCTGTTCTTCAGAAAAGCCTTAAGAAAGAATACAGCGGGATATCCGAATGGCGAGAGGAGTGGAGGGTTGAAGGTAAGGATCAATGGAGACAACACTGAAATCTCTATTTACATTATAATATTGAGTCGGACAGACTACTTTTTGGTTGATATTGATTCGTTTAATTAAGTAAAAACATGTTTAGTCAGTATCAGAAACGTGACTTGTAGTAAACATACAACGATGTTACAGCGCTTACGAGGGAAGGCCACCAAGTGTTCCCTCGCTTTTGAGCTGAGACTCAGTTGACCGGGGATAATCGAGCATGCTGATTCCGAATTTCATAATGGTTTGGGCTAATTTTGTCTTTAAAGCCCCGGTTTTTGAAGAGCTTGGTTTTCAAGCCGAAAAACCATTTGAGCTAAAAAAAACTTTTGATCTATCCAATTGATAGAGTACGTCGCAAAACCTACAGAAAACCACTTTTCAAGGTTTCATGGGAGGTTCTGAGCGAGTTTTCTACGTCAAAAATATAGTGCAAAAATTGTTCTTTTTTTGCCTTGTTTTTCAACTTATCGAAGGCCTTTAATCAATATCGCTGCGTATATGTGTTAGACATGACACACTCCAACTTCAGTTCAACAGGCCTTCAAAAAAAGAGCAATTTTTGCGCTATACTGCGCAAAAAAGCCGGTTTTTTCCTCTCATTTTTTACGTTTTTGACGTAGAAAACTCGCTCAGAACCTCTCATGAAACCTTGAAAGTGGTTTTCTGTAGGTTTCGCGACGTACTCTATCAATTGGACAGATCAAAAGGTTGTTTTAGCGCAAATGGTTTTTCGGCTTGAAAACCAAGATCTTCAAAAACCGGGGCTTTAAAGTCAAAATTAGCCCAAACCATTATGAAATTTGGAATCAGCATGCTCGATTACGGCCGGTCAACTGAGTCTCAGCTCAAAAGCGAGGGAACGCTTGGTGGCCTTCCCTCGTAAGAACTGCGGTTTTCTAGAAAACTTTCTTTAAAATTTTTTTCTGAAACTTTGATATATACTGCATTTGATAGAGAACTTCAAGGGCTATCTAAATAATTATTCATATTTGACATAGCTGCTCGGCTTCATCGAAAAACTTCAAAAATATATTGACTCTATAAATTTTGCCAGTATTGTATATATATCATAAAAATAAATAGTATTGCTTTAGTCATATCTACATTAGCTGTGCTTGAACTGCAACAGTTACCATATAATCGCTAACATAATTTCTTTGTTTTTAGCCAAATATCCAATTCAGGAATGGAAGCACCCAGAGTTAGTTCCGCAAATCGACTTTACGTCAAACCTGGAATGATACCAAAATACACTGGCTATTTACCACGTATGCTCTTATTTGTGTACAAATATAATTTATATCTTAACGTTCCCTCTCCTACAAATCAGAGTATGAGTAATGAGTTCATGTCCTTAAGAAATTATAAATCTGTGACGAATCTTGATTTTATTTTTCTCTGAATTTTGTCCGAGAGAATCTTAATCGAGATTTTAACAAAATGTGAAGTGAAATCTGAAGCTCAAACTAAATCAGAATCTGTCTGAGATATAAATCAAGATTTGTTAAGACAGAAACGGTAACAGAAATTGCCTGGAATCTTGATATGCAACTTCTGCTAAAGATCTGTCAAAAATTGATTAAATCTGCTGGAAGTTCTGGAAAGATCTTGAGTGGCACTTGAGGAATGTTGCGAAATGTTTTTGTTCTGAGGAGGACGGTAGCAAGAAAAACTAACAGTGAAAATTACTGAATAGCTAATTATATTTCTGTTTCAAGAACGAAAATATAACGTTGGACATACATATGGTGACACAACTCGTTCATTACCTGTATGCAGTCATTCATTTTCGAACTATGCAGATTACATACGTTCAAAGTCATTTATTGAATCAGTTCAATAAATCAGTTGATCATAGTTAAACAGCGGCAGATGTTTACTAGTTCGATAAATTGTCGAATTTATCCAAAGGAAAAAATTCTCATTTTATCATATTATATCGCTTATTCTAAAACTTTCTCATATCACTAGACTCAATTTTTTGTACGTTTTTTTCTTATTCGCCACATGCAGAGCTTCAGTCTTTGACATTGCTTCTTCATAGCCTAAATATTTTTTTATATCTATATTCTAAATATTTATTGATCACCAGTTTGTTTTCATTTTTCTAATAAACTTACATAAAATGAATTAAAAAGAAATTCTGCCTTTTGAGTTCTTAGAAAATGGTGTTTTTCCCCGACAATAAACTTGTATCTTATTTTCGAAATAGAAAATGTTCATAATGTGCTGAAAGATTAATTTTAAATCATAGTTTTAGGTTTATTTTGGTCTTAATATTGTCTAGGATAGATCAAAAAGAGTATTTTAAACAAATTTGATCTATGTGTTCTGTAGAGCTTCGTTGGATATTTGAGTGAATAATATTGGCCAGAACTGTTTCAATTGAATAGTTGAAGCTTCTTTTTGAAATGCCTCATCGATTGATTGTTGAACCAAATTTTTTGCCAATAAACAACGTTGGTCAATTATCTTAAAATATAAGAATCAGTCAAAGTATATTTTAAACATGAATGCTAGATGACTTGTACTCACAGGATTCAGTTTTTCACCTGATAAAGAATTTAGACCATCAACAACATTATTAATTTTATTTGAAGTTGCTAGATCTTTTTGTGTTTGCATAGTTGACAATCTTCGATTAACCATCTGTGATCCAGTTCTAATGAATAGTGAACAGAGATGTATTAATCAAAATCAAATAGTTGTCGCACACGTACCTGCCCATACTCGTATTCTCAAATTCTACATCACTTCTTGCACTTATTGAATCTTGCTGTGATTGTGTACCAGATTGATATTGAAACTGTGTTACATTGTTTATGTTCGTATTATACGTACTCGAATTTATTAATGTGACTGATGCTTTCGAACGTACAACACGATTAATACATTGATCCTAGACAAAACACAATAGTTCGTATGATCTTATTGTGATATTTCTTGGTCATACAATAGAGACCGATTGCAATGGCTGTTGTTGTTCATATAGTTTACCGCTGTTTGTCGACTGCGATAAAATAATTTGTTCATAAGCAGCCGTAAATGCAAGTGGATTACCTTCGAGACTTAGACATTCTAATGATGCTATTTTTGATATACAACGAATATCGTGAAATCTAAAAGAATCCCATCACGATGAGATTTTGTGACTGATAAATTTTCCTATTAGGAAGGAAAGAACGATTCGCAATGTGTATGCAAACGACAGTCTATGTGTTAGTAGTACAGGAGAGCCGCTTACTTTCAAGTACAAGAAAATTTAGAATTTTCTTTTATCTTACATCAGATGTGAGTTGTGCTGAAGGACAAAGAATGGTGCTTAAGGTACGTTCAAGATACTAGTGAAATATGAAACAAAAGTGTTTTTCGACAGACCATGCCAGGACTGAGGGAGTGTGACAACGAAATTAAACTATTTATGATTATTAAGCATTTCACTGATAGTTACCGTCTGATTTTATTAAAACTTAAAAATAATCGTTGAATTGGTAGTGAATCAATATCAGTCTACAGAAACAAAATTATAATCGATAAATAGTAGATGAACTGACACTTTATACTTATCACTATTGTGATCAGATTTCCTTGCAAATTAAGTTCAACTAAATTTTGGAGATTATGAATATTTTCACATTTTTCAATTTGATTAAATGCCAAATTTAACACCCTTAAATGTGTTAAATTTTTCAAGTTTTCAATTCGAGAGATCTTAATTTAAAGTTACATTGTATTCAATCGTCAAATATAGAACTATGTAATAAATATTACCTGATTTTTACTCAAATCTAAAACATCGAGATTTTTAAGATTGTCTAAATTTCGAATTTGTCGAATTCTAATAATAGAACAGAACAACAATACTAAGATGAACTGTAACTTTCAGTTTAGTGCTCAGTGGCGGATCTAGTAAGAAATTTTTTGATGGGCGTGATTCAACGAAAAATAATTTTAGTGACGATTCGTTTAGCATGCATAAAGGCTAAAAACGAAAATTTTCTTTTTGAATTAGGTTCGGTCGTCGACAGATCCTCCTACTTGTTATTAGCCAATCTTAAAATTCTTAATGATAGTAGACAATCGAGTCCGCATATTTGGTCAATTTCATTTTCACATAGATCTAATACTATCAAACTTATTAAATGTTCAAGATTGGCAATTTTTGTAATGCAATTTTTCTGTAAATTCAATAGTTTGATTTGTTCGTCGACTTGTAAATAAGGACAGGTAAATAATTGTTGTCTGAAATTAAGAACGTAAAAAAGTGTTGTTTCTGACTTGTAGTTTTTATTAGAAAAAAGTTTTTAAATAATCAAGCCTATAAGAGAAGAAGTCTTTTCCTCTGTTTTTTGAGCATTTAGTTCGAATTTGAGAGCCGACTACTGCAGTGACGGATCTAGAAAATTTTGTGTGAGTGTAGTGCTAAATAAAATATTGATCGGAGGAAGACTGCGAGTGACTAAAGATTCATCAGAAATAATGTTATGTATCAGTTCACAAAAAATTTCTGCTCCTTGCCTTCCGCTCTTAACTCTGGGGTTTCGTAGCGTTTCTACTAAGTTCTCACTTTTTTCAAAGGTGTTATCGATCACTAGTTGGCTTTTTCCCCTTGTTTTTTTCTACACGATTTTTGAATTTCTTTTTTATTGTTGTTTGCCATCCTTTTCAGATTAAAAGGACGAAAAGCTAGTTGAACAGATTCAAAAATAAGTGGTTTTCTCTAAAACGAAAGTAAATTTTGACAATCATCCATGTTAGTCTACGTATTTGCAATAAAAATGACTTGCAATAAAAATGTTTATCCTCAGAACAATGTATTGTACTAAATAACAATAACATCAGAGTTTCTTCCAAGGAAATACATTTTCTATGAATCGGCGCTTTTTAGGGCTTATAGAAAAGGTGTTCTTTCCTACTATATAATGTTGCACGGAATTGTGTTACATAATACCTCAAAATGTGATTTATGTCGAATGTATCGAAAAGATACACTAAATTTTCAACAATCCTTTCTTTTAAGCCTTTCAATAAACTACTTCAAAAATCTTCAAAAATACTGGTAGAAATACTGGATAAAAGGCAATAAATACTCTGAAAGAAGTTAGTTCAAACTACGAATATAAAAAGTTTATGACTAAGTCGTGTTTTTGCTAAAAATAATCAACTTCTTTTCTTAAGAGAATGCTCTAGGATTTTAATAGATGAAACGGCTACCACGAACCTTTTTAAAACAACCTTTCCCGATGTCTGTGATGAATTGTTATTTTCGTCTCGTGAGCCCAAGCTTCGATTGATACCTTGAATTCTTATATTATTTCTTTCATTTGATCTTTTATTCATCATTATATTCTATAGTAATGTAAATTTTAAATTAAATCATTTATATTCATATGCTATGAAAAGAAAAAGTTACATTTTTTTTTTGGCGACAGCATCGTCATTAAAGTTGTCATGACTCTCCTCTTTTTATATAATATGTACAACAATAATAATACTACAAACATTTCATGGTCGCAGGAGAACATTGTTATAAAAAATTATGATCAATCACAACGTGCCACCCAGATAAATTTTTCAGTTCATTTCTTTGGCTTTCTAGAAACTTCACTCAGAGTAACTCAAAAAATGAAATCTAATTATCTTCGAGCTTAAAAATAGTCGATTTTATTTAGTTTCTTCCGCTTTTCCAAATAAGGGATCGCTCAAACAGAACAGATAAAACGCTTTGTAGATATAATTAAAATCTTCAAAAAATAAATTTTAAAGCTTTATAATCAAAGCTTATGAGGGATGCTGTCCAAAACCTAGATTCTTTCGAGTGGTTTCCATTTCACAAACAGGATGTCGTTTTGTAAAATAGGGGTTTTTATTAAATAGAGGCGTGTTATGATGATATAACAAACATTTTTTAGTTCCACCTACGGTAGACTAGCGCTGAGTTATTTTGTGATTCACGCGTAAAATAATTGAATCTTTTAAAACAAATATGAAAATGGAATCTAAAATGATTTTCAAACATCAGTTCACAGACTTTTTCACAAATGTCGCAACAATCTATAATACAATTACAAAGTATGGCTAAAAATGAATTAGAAAATAATTTCAAGCGGTAGTTTTAATTTGAATTTCAACAATAACTGGGCTATCAGTGACAGAAAGTAAAAATCGATTTGGAGATGAAGGAGCAATATTTTGAATTGGACCTAAACCAAACTGCATTGTTTGAGGATTTTTCTAAATAAAGATCCTGATAAAATAGAACAACATTACACTTATTATCTGATGAAGTATACCTCATAACGGTTTTTAAATAATCGAACATAACCATCTTTACTCGTACATATAACTAAATTTGACGAGACAGCAATTGCTGATGAATGTAATTTAATTGTCCGTTTATCTGAAAATATGAGAAAATACATATGAGAATAATATTTTTTTATCCGAAAAGTGTATTTATACCCAACAATGAAGTGATCAGTGGATGTGCAACATGATGCCATCTGATGTTTCGAACAGATTTATGTTTTGCAGGCTCAAATGATGGAACCGTCCCTATCATCAGAAAGATTACGATTAAATTATAAGATTTGAACTGTACTGAACTGTAAATTCTTACACAAATTATAATTAAGGTCACTGTGAACTGCCAACAAGTAGTGATTGTCTACCGACCATACAACATGAGTTACATAAGAAGCATCGGTCTACAATCAGTTTTTTGTGTTATTATTGTACCGTTTCAAATCAGTATAACCTACTTTAAGCGTACCATCGTCACGCAGATTAAAGTCACCGTTGCCTATAACATCATATACGTATACATTGCCGTTTTGTAAACCAACGGCCACCATTTCGCCATCTAGAAGGATGAAAAATGTCATCATCCACTACACGTTACCTTTTATTTATACATAGTGAATCTGTGAAAGTCGATTAAGCGATTACCTGGTGAAAACTTCACAGTTTTGATACTTGTATTGACTTTCAGCGTCACCGTTGCAATATAATAACTTGTTAATGTATCATATAACAACAATTTACTTGTTTCAGTACCCAAAATAATCACATTTCGATCTGGATGAACATCACAACAAGATATTGGTTGCTAAATAATAAAATTTCTTATTTCTCATCCAGATGCACGATAGTGTTGTTTTTGTTTGTTTGTAGCGGTGGATTGTGAAAACGTAAAAGATATTTCTCTCAGAAGCAGTATGACAGTTCAATTTTTCCCTCGCTTTCAATGATCAAAAAAGATCTTTTACAATTATTTGGGGATGAGAGTAGACTATTCACCTCCTACTTTCATCATAAAATTCTGTTCTCTGTATTACCGTGCATTTCGTTGTCCATTCGACAGATTTTAATTCACTATTCCATTTAAATAAATAACGATCACCACTAACTGAAAAAAATGTATCTGAACTGACGACGCTGCAGGCTGCTATGGAACTTCCTGTATGTCCCTAAAACGATAAAGAGAAATATCTGTTAAGAGGTGCATTCTTGTTTTAGACCCTATTACCTGCATAATAATAACAAATTCTCGACGATCCATTGATTTTTGTAATATAAAATTGAGTTTTGTTCCCACAATAAATGCAAATGTTCCATTTTGATCTTTGAAACAACAAATCGTTTGTATATGACCATAATCAACATTCATCTGAGAAATTGATAGATAGAACATTATTATGAACTATAAATATTAGATTTTCTTTTGACTTACGGTAAATTGTTCAATCGTATCTAATTTTGCATTCCATATGATTATTTTTCCTTGATTAGCCAACACATATGTATCTCGATTCATATGGGTAATACTCTGAATTTCGTCCTAAAAAGCAAAGACAAATCTTTCATTATTGTTAAATCAAGATTCTATCACTCACAGATACATACATCTGTGACACATTCTCGAACACGGTCTAATTTTGGTACACCGTCTTTTAATTCCCAAATATATATACTTCCTACTTTATCACCCACAAGTAATTTATCAATAAGACCATGTGTAGCAGCACCGGTATACACATTCTTGAAAATAGAAACCATAAAAAAATATGTAACAGAGACAGTGGAAGAGAACAACATAAATCATATACCTGGACTTCTGCTCGTTTGTTAGCTTTTATTCTCAATGGTTTAGTATTCCAATTAATATGATAAAACATTAAATGTTGTCGACTAATACACGCTAACCAATCATTTGTGTCAAAAACAAAACTTGTCCATAATAATTTCTCTGAATTGCACTAAAAATGAAATATAAATTCTCTTACTCTTCAAATAATCGATACAATATGGATGATAACTTACTACTATACTATATAATAATTCATTTCGTTTCCAATCCACTAATAATACAACTTGTTGTTTTTCTCTTGAAACGGTTAATATAATATCATCATTTGGTTTAGAAGAAAATGATATTAAATATAAATAGGAACTAAATTGATCTTTTCGTAGTTGAGATAGTGTATGAAGTGATCCATGATCCCATATATGAAGTTTTGCTTTGTAATTATTACGTTGTGTACCAATTTCTGCTGATGCCACAATATTCTGATGACGATGAACTGTTACACTAAAATAGAGACAATATTGAAAACATTGTGTACAGTTAAATCTAAACTCATGAATAATATAAAGTCGACTAGTCAATATCTAAAATATTTTAAAATTCTAGAGATGAACTATTATTACTACTGATATTCTCACGTCACATTCAAATGTTCACGTGTTCTATTTACCATGAAATTTGCTCATTATGATTTGTATAAAAACGTTGATGTTTCATTTCATATTTATACAATACAATAATTGATCCAACGTAGTAGAGAATTTCACCGAATGGTAGATTGTGAATGCTTTTTGTTTGATCATGTTGACCATTATATCCGTAACTTTTGAAAATTAAGGAGAAAAAGTGGTCACTTACTTTCATAAACGTAAAGTTTAAATATCAGAATTTGAACATTTAAATAGAATGTTGGCTTCTTCTTTTAGGATGACAGTTTTATCACTGCGATACACAAATAGAAACAAAAACTTAGTGTGTGAACTTGTGGTCAAAATTAACAACAGAGACAACGGCTCAAAAATCTTTTTTATATATTGAAAAAGGATACATCCAAGTGATTGCCAAATGAGCATCTTCTACATAAATGAAAATAAATTGGTGTTTGTTCAATCATCAGCTAGAAATTATGATACAAAATGCCTACCTTTGCTTGTTATTGATCCGTTTAAATGATGTCTTTCACTATATCCGTTTAGACTACGCGATGTTGTTTCATATTCATTAAAAATATCTACATCTTTTGTTATCCCAAGGTGTTCTCGAGCATGGACAGTTTCATTCTCTGTACAACCGATAAATGTATCTGTATTTCTCAACGAACTGAATAATTTTGAAAAACTTTTTATCTAAAATAAACTTGGTTTTAGACAGAAGATAAAACACGTATTCTTGTTCTTACTTCTGAACATGAAAATTTTGAAAATGAAAAAAAATGTGTAATTTCCGCACCATTTGTGTATGGACTCAAAACTTCTGTTACATTATCACTTAACCATTCATCAAATGTCATTTTAATATTTCGATTTAACAACACAATTTCTCTTACATCCAATTGTGAATAAGGTATTAGAATAATTTGATCACGGTATGGTGGTAAACGATAAGAATATAAATTATTTTGTGAACTTCGAATAAATGAATATGCTTCTAAATCATATTCATCGCCAAAATCATCTAATGCATGCTGATAATGGGTTTTTATAAAATGACTTGTAGCAACAACATAAGAATGACGATTTAATAATTCATTTAATTGACGCATTTCATTTCCATTCATATCGTAAATATGTTGTATACCACCCGATGTTGATGATAAACTTGGATGATTATTTAAATAATTTAAAAATGCTTCCCATGACTTTAACTCAAAATCATTTACAGCAATTTTAACACCGCTAGAAGAGATATTCTTGAAATTTTAAAATAAATCGATATTAAAATACACCTACCGATGAAAACTATCGCCATTTCGAAAGAAACGAACCAACACGCCTCGAATGGTTGTGCGCCCAATCAGAGATCTACCTTGAAAATAGGACAAATAAGTTGAAGGAAGAATACCTTGCCTTGCGGCTTCTGTTACAGGCATAGAGTGCTGACAACTGTCAGCTTCAATAGCTCCATATCTTTCTTATAACTGACAAGCTTCTGACACGGTCGTTCAGATCTGCACTAGTCATCAACTGTAGCCCGGGTCAGAAGGCCAGTCTGCTGCAGAGTTCTTTTCGTTCAATCGCTTGAGTTCTCGATACACAATCTCTATACACCTACTAGCTCGTTTCGGAAGGTCACGAAGAATAACTGAAGGCACTTTCTATGTCTACGTCACAGCATAATGAATATGCTAATGAATGGGTAATTCGAGGTACTAAGACATAATTAAATTGCTCGGGGTTATTATATCACTAGACGGTGCCGGGATTGATCACGGTGGCATTCAGAAAAACATAAACGAGCAAACAGACAAAAAAAGGAAAATTGGTTAGTCTTTAGAGTTGAGAAATGAGAGTACAGTTGATTGTGATCGTAAAAAGCCGAACTAAACAAAAAATGTGTCAGATAGTGTCTCCTAGTGAAACGTCTTGTAATCCTGACTTCTTGAATTTTTTCAGCGAGATCATGACTCAGGATCTTGGTAAATACTGATAACGTCGAGTCGACTGCACAGCTTGAATCGTTGTACAGAATATAGACACGGAACAGTGGATTTTGTTTTGCAGTTCTATCAACCTGAGATCTTGAACTTTCTTGAGTTCTTGTACGAAAATCTTAATAAATTCTTGAATCACCATTTTGCTTCACACTCTTACTTACATCTAATTGCGAAGATTTTCTTACTCAGAATAATTTCGATATGTTTCCTTTCTTGGATATAACTGCTCAAGGATGAATCTATGACCACATGAATTATTGTACGTCTAATGGTTACGGCTGTCATATCATATAAGAACGAAAATACAGAAAAAAAAATTTTCACAATACTCTGAAACATTTTGACTCGATTCACTCAAGTTCTTGGGTACAAAACGTTTTATTAGGATCGTCTTTTCTTACCAACCTTGTATTAGATGCTTAGAAAAACTTATGTATTATGACACTTACTTGTTGGAATTGAATAATTCAGTTTTACCAATGAATTAGTGGGATGATAATTGGAATGTTTTTTGACAATCATTGATGAAGATTTCGATATTTGTGGTTTTCCGTTTAATTGCTTAGAATTCTGGGGATGTTTTTTTGCCATGATGGTGGGTTCTACTAATTTTGTTGTTGTGTCAACGTCAATCGATGAATGTTCTTCTTCTTCGTCTTCTTGTTCCTCTGAGCTATGTTCCTTATTATGATGTAATGATTGTAATGATCGACTTTTTTCACGTTTTAACTCTCTGCTATTATTTTTTGAACTTGAATTTGTTGTAATATCATTTGAATGTTCATAATTTGTCATTGTACTAACATCACTTACGGATTCTTGTGGATGTTTTTGCTGCTGTTGTTGTTGTTGTTGTTGTTGTTGTTCAGTTTGAGTACTTTTAACTAAGAATGATCGTGGTCTTTCATGCGATCCTTTTCTTATCGGAGAAGGTTGTTTCACAGGATCTTTAGATTGTTCTGTCTTCAATTTTTCGACATCAGCTTCTTTATCTGTTCAAAGACGAATGAAAAACATATTGACTATTTATTGTTAAAAAAACTGTCTCGATTCTGATGGAAAAATGCAAATCTCGTATGTACCTTTATCTGTTTTGATTGGTTCTCTATATGATGGTACTAATGAGTATGAATCTTGCAATGATCTATTTGATAATTCTCCTAAAGATGATTTATTTTGAACAGAGATTGAAGTCGTCGATGGAAAATATATCCGATTATCCTCTGGGAATACCTCAAAAAGAAATTAAACAGATTGGTAAATAAAATACATGATCTTGTTTCTTTTTTATATGAGTGGTTCGAATAGAAAAACGGAAAAAAAATTTTGTTTGAAATTGTCGAGTTCTTCTAACATCATTCAACGTCTATACTCATTATAAAATAATAATGTGACAAAAAAAAATTGAACTTTAATTTTTTTCCTTCTTCTCTGTTTCCATATTTCATCACTATTATCCTTATCGTCATGTAAAGAACAATGTCTATTTGTCTCATGACATCAAAAAAAGAAAAAAAAAAAAATTTTATTTTATAAGATATAAAACATACTTTTAATTGTCAATTGTGGTCAACGAAAATTGTTTAATAACTATTTACTTTATGCCATAGCAAACGTTAGTGTTATGGTAATTTAATGGAAAGAATAAAAATGATTCGAGTCAGTCTCAATGTTCATAGACAATCTAGAAAACTAAAATAACTAACTAAACAGTATAACTAAACTCTTAAGAATAAAATATTGTTTTCTAAAGAAAGTATATCTAATTAATTCATAAAAGTTAATAAGTTTATTATTAATATCGCATTGTCATACTTGTTTAAAATTTAATTTTCTATATTCTCCGATTCAACAATTATGCATAACAAAAAAACAAGACTAATCTCGCAATCCAGATTAAAAAATCCTAGTAGAAATTCTACAGAAATATTAGTCGATGCTAAACCAAGAAGGATCCTATCGGATCTTATCATTTTTTCTCTAAGTCCTCCATGAATGTGTCAGAAATTATAGTTCGGTTGCTCTTGCAGATATATCGATCAGAGTAACTGGTTCCATTTTCCGTAGAACTGACACGATAATTAGAAGGCAGAAAATACATAAAAACAAGAAAAGAAGCATGACTTATACGGGAAGAGGATGAACTGTTAGATTGATCAAGATGCATCTTACGAGGGAACCTCTTGAGGTTATAAATCGCTTTTGAACTCGGACTGCTTGTATCTTGTAGACCTCAGTGAGTAGTGAAATACCCTAAGTTGGTTCATCCCCATGGTGCTTTGTTGCTGAGATATTGAATTTTTAGTCAGTTTTT